TCACGCATAAACATGGTCGTTCACGCATAAACATGGTCCTTCACGCGCATTTCACGCGGATTTCACGCACACAAGTCCATGACCGGAACTATGCCCATAAGGTGTATGGTGCAACCATGTGAAGTGCATTTCACGCGCATTTCACGCATAAACATGGTCGTTCACGCATAAACATGGTCCTTCACGCGGATTTCACGTGCATTTCACGCGATGTAAGTTAGGCAACCCTTGCCTACCAAGGGGGCTTTTCCAATCACAAACCCATTTTGCACGTCCATTTGTTGTGCTTACCACATGTCGATAACACAAACACTTATTTTTAATAAAGCTACCATATAGGCTAGGAACACCCTGGCTTGCAATGCAAAGCGTCTGCTGGCAGGCCAACAGACATTGAATTGGCTTTGCGCAAAGGCCCTGAACTCAGTTCACTGCAGGGATGCTGGACTCTGGGAAGCACAAATACACCGGTGCATCTGGTGGTACTTCAGAGGGAATGATGAAATTCATGTGTTTTTGCAGCTAGTTGGGAGAGCACCCTTTGCGCCGCACCGGCAACTAGTTTACTGGGAGTGGCCGCCCTTGGCCTTATTGTGCACCTTTTGCACAAACTTTCTCAGAGCAGGGAGCCCGGCCTTTTGCCAGGCACCACGGCGTTTCACCTAGGCGGATGGGGGCACTAGTTGAAACCACAACCTTGTTGGGTCAGGGGCTCTGGCAGGCTTGCGCTTGGAATTGTTCAGCTTGTAGCAAGCCTGCTTGACAATGGCGTTGAGCTTCATGCCTTTCTTCTCCTCACAGGTCTGCCCGAATGGAACACTGGTGTAACCCGACAGATTGCATCGGTTCATAAGGAGCAAATATCGTATCGATCCATTATGATCCATGCATCTAACTAAGTTGGAAGAAAACCTGTCCATCAGCTCTTGATGCAGTGCCGCCACTTTTTTGCCAAAGCCCACAGGATAGACCTGTGTGCTTTTGAGGCCACGTCCACCAGTCCTTGAGCGAAGCAACGATCGCGATCGAGGCTGTTGGTCGGCGGGTCGCAAGCAGGCTAGTCTGGCCATCAGGTGTGTGTATACCTAAGTAAGACCTAAGACTCTGACACAATCTTTTTCCATCTTCGTTTACCTTCGTTGTTGTAACTTTCAATTTCTTGGAGTTGGCTGCCAGCATTTGTCGGTGTGTCTTGGACAGCTTGGTGTAGAAGCGCTTCAAGTAAGGCCTAAATCGGAAGCTTACCAAAAGACCCTGCAACAATCCAATTCTGAACTTGCTTGAGGCTCTTGAAACTCATGCAAATATAGATGCTCGGTAGTATGCTCGGTAAAGATCATATCGATCATGGAACTAGGTTCCTAACAACTGAGAAGCAAACACTGTACCCCAAAGCCTTGTCGGCTTTAGGGTTTGCGCGCCCCATGAGGCCATACAACTGGGCACGTGACGGACCGGGCTGGACAGGCTGGACAGGGATGCACATCAGGACTTAGTAGTGGGGCCCGACAAATATTGCTCCCTCCAAAGACCAGCACCAAGTACTTGTTGAATCTTCTCTGCAGTGCTCTTGAAATCAGGAAAAATTTCATAACACTGCTCGATGGCTGTTCTAGTGCCACATAACATCCTCTAATGGTGGCTAGAATGATGAGGATGCAAGTTCTGGCGCAGATCCTTAGTGCGCATGCTAGGTGATCTCACGCATGAAGCATCATGAAGCACATCTATAAAACAAGCAATTTACCGTCGAGGATCATATTTGCCGTTTCAACATAGGTACGGCTTTCATCTCCGTAGGGTGTGTCAGGCCGCCGGCCACTTGTGTGGGAGTTCACCCACACGAACGAAGAACACGGAGGTCCCAACGTCAATACGCCGTCCACCCGCAAACGCAGTGTGTTCAGCACAGCTTGCAAGAATCCTGACCTGGGCGGGCAGGGCGATCAGTGTGAGTTTTATGAGTTAATCAAATCCAAACGTCATATAGAAAAGGGATCCACACCAGACGCATGTCTCTCAAGAAGCTTGGAAACGGTCCCTATTATGCGGGTTGAGCAAAGGTGTTCAATAGCTTGCGCATCGACAATTAGTATCACGAAACCAACTGGGAATAAAGCGTGCAGCATATGTTGTTCAACTCCCCCCTTGTCGCGATGTCGTAGAAATTCCTGGCAACACCAAGCTAGCATGCAAACTACATGACATGTGCAAGTCTGCCCGGGATCCCAGCGCACTCATCCCACGGTTGCCTCACACTCACGTCCGAACACTCCCCTGCGAGCGCGTTGGTCAATGCTTGGTTGCGTGAGGCACTGACAGAATCCTTTGTAAATCGATTGGGCTCCGCTGAACACATCGAAGTTATCCAAGTCCTAAGTGAAACTCATGACTAGCCCACAAGTATAGTAGATCAGTGGTGGCCCAGGAAAGTCAACAGTCCAAGTTTCTGGCGCGGGTGTGAACCTGGTGGGCTGACTCTGCAACAAAATCGCAGACATCCAACCTGAGTGGAAAAGATGTTATGGACCGATGGGGTTAGTGGATCAACTGTTCTTTTGAGGCATTGGCATCACTTGGGGCATTCCAAGATGTAGTGCCACAGTGGCAGCACATACCGTCAAGGCCAAGGGGGATTTCCGCCAGTCAGGCATCGTGCTGGTGAATCCTGGTCTTCAAGGGCGCCTTTGAAGATCGAGCCAGTGCCTGCGACCTGTCTTTTTGGAACCCTGTCTCAAACCTGACCAACGTTGAATACGCATGTATGTGATGGACAGACACTTTCTAGAATGCATGTTTTTGTGTTTAGTGTCGACTGTTTTTTAAACTTCAACGTAAGCAAGTCTTGCAGAGTTGGAAACGCGCTTCTTCCCGCAATTTGCGCCCGAATCATGATCGACTAGTGAGATTCGATCAACACGTACCCCAGAACCCAGCCATGGAATCTATTGTCCATGCTGGATCAAGATAATTGCCAGTGCAACTACCAGTGCATAACTGGGACCCCTACCAAGTAACGTGCTCACGCCTGGTGTTCTAGACCTTTTGTAGTGAAACACATGCACACAATTGCACACAAGCCCCAGCCATGCCCCCAAAAAAGGATCAAGGTCAGCTTCAACCAGAATTCTTTGGTTGTAAACTTGTAAACAGGTGAGACCTGTCATGTCCATCGGGCCAGGGCACACGCCAGCTTCCACCTGGGCACCGGAGTTGGGTGAGGGCAAGTGAAAGGTTGAGGGGCAGTGTTAAGCTTTGGGCGTTGCATCAATGCCACCGTGACGTGACCAAGTAAGTGTCACCCCATGCTTCTTGTTTTCCTGGACCAAACTCCAGTTTTAAGAGATGTTGGGCCAATCCAAATGGAAACTGAACGACTCCTGAATGTTCTTGTTCATCACAGTGTTGATATGCTTCAAGAGTTCGGGTTCCACATTCGTGACATAGAAGCTGCCAGTGAGCCTCACAGCCAGAACCCAGTGCAAATTCCTCCATTGAATCGATCATGTATATCACAAATAAGAATCTGGCAAAGTGGAAATGGTCAAAGCGTTAGGACTGTTCTCCTTCGTGCGGACAGAAGGATGTTGAGTCCACGACCTAAAAGCTGCGGACGTGGAGTCAAAGGGAGAACTTCCAAAGACCCGTGCACGAAGAGGAAAAAAGACAAGAACCACTACCAAACCCTTTTGGTTGGGCCTAAACTGTCATTGCACGTATTCCCAGGGAGCCGACATGACTCGCTTCAACACATCCTCCTCCGGGGGCTCATACAAAGCCAATGGCACCTTTGCCAGCTCACGGACCTGCTGGAGATTCTTCGCGCGTGTCTCCTGGAGGAGGCAAGGAGTGGCATGCATCGACTCGGTGGCACCAGTGAGATTGTTAAGATCCCTGAAGGTCACCCTTTGAATGAAAGCTCTTGGGCGGTAAATCGTTGGCCTCCCGGAATCTTTTAAGTGAGATTGGATCCAGAATGGGTTTATGTAGCCTGAGCCAACTTATGGCCTACTAGTTTATATGGTTTATCATGGTTTATCATATGTTACGTACAAGATATAAGATAGTTCGAACTTTGTTCAATTCAGGACCCGGTCCTCTTTGATGTAGAACTTCTTCTCCTTCTCTTTCTCCTTCTCTGCAGGGTCCTGGTTGATGCTGGGGAATGCTTTTTGGACAATGAACAGGGTGGGTCAACATGTATGGCATACTGCTTTAATTCAGCACCCCAGATTTTAAAATCCCGGACTTTAACGGAAGTCCTGAGTACTGCTTCCAGGCTTCGCTTGTTCTTGATCCTTCTTTTCCTTCTTAGACTTTGCAGTCTTCAGATCCTTCACTTTTGTATTCTTCTCGTCGTCCATTGACTCACCCTTGCCAGGTGTTGACGTCTCCTTGAGCTGCATTTTTCCCTTTCCATGACCTCGACCTTTGGATCCGGGTGTTCTGCGTTTGCGTTGTCCTCCCTTTTCTTGATCACTGACATCTCGTTCTCGGTCATTCCTCAAAGCTTCATCGTCTTCATCCAAGGCCTTGGCCATCAGAAGCTCTTCATCCTCGCCCGGCTCCTCATTGGCGTCATCAGCCTTTTTCTTTGAAGGTCTCTCGCCTTCATTGTTGTGTTCCATCGTCCGCTTTGGAGGTCTTCCAGGCTTCCTTTTCTTTTTCTCCTCCGCTTCTTTTGCCTCTTGAACTTGTCTTTTCCTCAACAGGCGCTGCTCCTGGCCAAGAGTTGGGCATGACAGCTGAAATGAATGCGAGCACAACAAGACTCTGTCTGGCCTCCAGAATCTGTTGTACTTTTGCTGGGTCATCAGGCATGTTAAGGTCCAGCAAATCTGCGACCTCTTTCACCAAAGGCTTGGTGTCCTGAAGCCAGCATGTTGCGCAAACAATTTAGCAAACAAAGTACGTGCTTTTTAACGCAATTAGTTTCCACGTGTTTTTGACTCCCTTGATCTAATTCTAATTGTTCAGTCCTTGAAGGTGCCTTTTGTGCTCTCTCTTTTGTCTTGCTTCCCCGGATCACTGTCAGCATCACGGTCTTCATGGCCTTCAATCGCCACTCCAAAGGCCCGCATGATGTCGCCCGCGAAGCTCAGGCGGAAATCATCTGGTGGGTTTGCTGCCTGAATCTTTCCAAGCTCGCACTTCAGCCGTTTGGCAAGACCCACGGCTTCAACATTGCATCCTCAAGCACCCTTCAACTTCTTCTTGTCTCACAAGATACAGCACAAACTGGATGAGGTCTTCAATGGGCTCACCATTCTTGCCCATGAACTCGAACTTCTCTTTGTATACCTTTTCCACTTCCTCCACAAAATCGGGAAGTGATGGGTGGTTCTTGCACTCTTGGCCCAGGGAGTTGAACTCTTCGAGTTCTAGTGACCACAGAAAGTTGTCACACTCCCTCTCCCATCTTTCACCCATTGTTTGCGCCAGCTTGTGCGCGACAGCCAAAATCCTGGCCAAGTTCCGCGGGCTGTCACCAAGTTCCTTCCTGAAGTCTGCACCTGACCGAGAGACTCTAAGGTTTCCTCTTTTGTTTCTCTGCTGCCTTCTTTGCATCTTCTTCTTGCTTCTTCTTCTCTGCTGCAATCTTCTCGGCCTTCTCTCGTTCCTCCTTCTGTTTCTCCTCTGCTGCCTTCTTTGCATCTTCTTCTTGTTTCTTCTTCTCTGCTGCAATCTTGTCGGCCTTCTCTGATTCCTCCTTCTGTTTCTC